GCATGATTTTGGCTCACTGCAACCTCTGTCTCCTGGGTTCAAGTGATTCTCCTGTCTTAGCTTCCCGAGTAGCTGGAATTACAGGCGCACACCGCCACACCCGGCTAATTTTTGTATTTTTAGTAGAGATGGGGTTTTGCCATATTGGCTAGGTTGGTCTTAAACTCCTGACCTCAGGCGATCCGCCCGCCTCAGCCTCCCAAAGTGCTGGGATTACAGGCGTGAGCCACCACACCCGGCTGCACTGTCTCCTTTTTTGACATGAGTATCCTCACAACCAGCCCCTATCATTTGAGGTAATTTCAATCTATTTTTCAAGCAACTAAGAATCTAAGAGAGCTTTTGCTTTAAAATTAGTAACGATATCTTGTAGTTGTATACTTCTCTATTTCTTCTAAAGTATGCATTCTCTTGCTTTATTTTACCTATATATGTATTTGCTGAGTGGAAAATGTGGTTAATTATGTGGACTTTGGCATCAAGCAGATCTTGTTTTGACTACTAGCTTCATTACATCTTATCCTGCCAAATAGCAAATTTCTTCTATTGTGATTTCATTATCATCAATATAAGGAAATAGATTCTTTTATTGTTCAGCTGCTTTATTACAAGGACCTCTCCTTGTATGAAATGTAAACTTCTTGTTTAGACGTCAGAATTCAGGAACATGTTTTAGGTAAGTATGACACATCCTAAAGGATGGCTAGTGTAGGAAAGAGTGATTTTTCCTGTATTATACTCTTGTCAACCACTTTAGATGTATCTGAACTATCACAGACTCCCTGAGCGTTCCTAGTTAATGCTCAGACTTTGTTCTGTAACAGCTAATTTGGGCTGGGCATGGTGGCTCACACTTATAATCTCAGCACTGTGAGAGGCCGAGGCCGGTGGATCTTGAGGTCAGGAGTTCAAGACCAGCCTGGCTAACATGGTGAAACTCCATCTCAACTAAAAATAAAATAGCCAGGCCTGGTGGCACACGCCTGTAATCCCAGCTACTCAGGAGGCTGGGCGGGAGAATCACTTGAACCGGGGAGGTGGAGGTTGCAGTGAGCCGAGATCATGCCATTGCAGTCCAGCCTGGGTGAGAGAGTAGATTTCAGCCTGGAAATGCAGCCCAGTAGGTTTCAGCCTCATTTTCCCCAGCTCCTATTTAAGATGGAGTTGCTCTGGTTCACACGCCTGTGACAATCGCACCTCCCAAGCCCAATTATATTACAGGTGTGAGCCACTGCGCCCAGCCCCTGCTTTCAAAAAGTATATAATTTCCTGTAACGTGATGGTTAATACTGAGTGTCAGCTTAATTGGATTGAAGGGTACAAAACATTGATCCTGGGTGTGTCTGTGAGGGTGTTGCCAAAGGAGATTAACATTTGAGTCAGTGGGCTGGGAAAGGTAGATCCAACCTTAATCTGGGTGGGCACAGCCTAAGCAGCTGCCAGCAAGCATATAAAGCAGGCAGAAAAATGTGAAACTGTGAGACTGGCTAGTCTCCCAGCCTACAACTATCTCTTCTAATAGAATATATATATCCTATTAGTGCTGTTCCTCTACAGAACCCTAACTAATACAGGAGGACAGGGCTTACCTTCATGCCATTATATGAAGGTGAGGACTAAACTCTGATTTTTATCTTGTCCAAATTCCTATCTAAGGGGTCTGGGGAGTCATGCCCTACAAATCATAAATTCTCATCAGATGGGTTTTATTTAACCCTAATTGTGACTTACTTTCCGACTTGACTCTGGCATAATATTATAAGAAAGAAAATAAAAATATTTTACCCCAAAACATGTTTCTGTTCCATATTTTGAAATGGTCATACAAAGCCAAGAATCTCTGTTAACATAGCTAGATCTTTTTCTTCCAGACCCTGCCAATCCTAAAAAGATGACTTAAGATCTGAATAGGAAACATTTGCCATCTATTGTGTTTAAGGGCAGCCACTTTAAGACTTTGAAAGAGTTTTGGCCTCCACCATCTTTTATCTTAATGTTTTATCTGAACAACCCCTTTCTATCAACCCAGGTCTTTAGAAAACTCAACCAATTGTCAACCAGAAAATGTTTAAATTGTTTAAATTCATCTATAGCCTGGAAGCCCGCCCCCCCCCCAGCCCCCACCTTTTCGTTGTCCTGTCTTTCAGGACCAAACCGATATGTATTTCTTAAATGTATTTGATTGATGTCTGGTGCCTCTCTAAAATGTATGAAACCAAGCTGCACCCTGACTCCCTTGGGCACATGTTCTCTGGACCTCATGAGGGCTGTATCACAGGTCATGGCCACTCATATATGGCTCAGAATCTCTTCAAATATTTTACAGAGTTTGACTCTTTTTGTTGACAAAGGGAAATAGCTGTATCTATCTATGTATACACAGACCTTTTGTAGATCTTGTTTTGAATCCCAGCTTCATTACATCTTTTTTTTTTTCTTTTCTTCCCATTTATTTATTTTATTGCATTTTAGGTTTTGGGGTACATTTGAAGAACATGCAAAATTGTTGCATAGGTACACACGTGGTAGTGTGATTTGCTGCCTTCCTCCCCATCACCTACATCTGGCAT